TCATCTTCTCTCCCTACTTTTCCTTAGACAAAGGTCAGAAAATTTGGGGTAATATCTGGACTCAGACCTTAAATTTCATAGCCACCTAACATCAATAAATCAACAGCTTTTTACCATCTGAAGACATGCCAAAAGTCAGAAAATAGTGTCCCGGGCAGACTTGGAGATTCTTGTCCACGCATATTGTCTCCACAGCGCTAGACTACCTGCAATGGCCTGCTTACAGGTCTGTCCAACAGACTGTAAGCACTGCAGAGTACAACCCAAAATGCAGCAGCTAGAGTCCTGACAGAACCAGGAAGTATGACCTTATAGTCCGTCCTCAGGTCTCCACTGGCTTTTCCTGTGGCTTCAAAAGAATAGATTTTAAAACAGCTCTGCTTGTGTACAAGTCACTCCATGGCCTTGCACCAGAATACATTAGTGACATGTTGTGCATATGAACCAGCCCGGACTCTGAGGAAGCACAGGGACAGGGGCCTCCTGCTGGTGCTCCAGAGTGAGAACCAAACATGGGGAGAGGCTGCGTTTCAGATCAAAGCAGCTAAGATCTGAACAATCTCCCTGAAAAAGTGAGGGAGGCGACTACTCTGTCAATAGTTCAAATCCAGGTAAAGACCTGTTTCTGTTTCCTGTCATACAACTGAAGTATTTTTATCTCCATTTGTAATGCACTGCTGTCATTTATTTATTTATTTTTAAAATTTCTTGTGTAACTTTGAAAGTGTTCGATGTTTTATTCTTTGTGTGATTTAATTGTTTTTATGTGTTTTAATCTTTTGTGTGATTTAAATGTTTAATTGTGATTCTGTGTTGTTTTATGTGATGATCTGATGTGGACTGTGAAGCTCTTTGTGTTGCCCGGTGCATGAAAGGCGCTCTACAAATAAACTTTGATTGATGATTGATTCATATTGTCTGCACAAACAAAAAATAGATCATAAAATAATCTAGCTATAGCATGATAGAGAAATGTATAATGTATATACTTTAGCATATGACAGAATAAAATAATTACATTAGCATTATAAAGAAGCATGATCCTGTAAAATCCTTAGAGAAGACATATACCGTTGTAATGTTTACATCTGGACATTAGCAGCATGAGGCTCCTGGGATACATTAAGTCCAGTTAAAGAAGGAAAATAATGAACTGTAAAAACACTAATACATTGTCGTAAACTAACTGCATATAATTCATTTTCAACTCAATGTGTTTGCTAGAAACTATAGAAATTTGAAATACATATAGATAGTACACCACATCAACAATAATACTAATAATAATTACTAGCGCTGGAAATACAACTACAAACCCGACGTAAACAAACTGAATATAGCTGTAAACAGTAGAATACAGTGAATACAGATTGTTTGTACCACGCAGAGAAAGTGTTTTCTTATACACTATGATTCCAAACACCAACCAAACAGGAAGAACCTACTAGCAGCAGCAAATAACAGATGACACGGAGGTAAACCCCGGGATCATAAACAGCGCACTACCACACCGAAGATTTAATCTACAGACGTGTGGAACGATCTACGCACAATAGGAAAGAGATTTTAGGGGAGTGGAAAGCAAAGAACGCTAACCACAAAAACATTGTGTTTATCAGAGGAGACCTTACCAGAGTGCGTATGTAATCCAGATGAAATGGAGAAAGCCGGCGCACTCTTTTAAGAGCATCGCCAAAAGAAGTTTTCCCATATTACTATGGATGGTAGACCGCCTGGGAATACCAGGTGCTGTAAGCATTTTGCCCTGGAGCTCGGGCCTGGGGGCGAGCTCACAACAGCGCGAGTTGTTGTCGTGTAGTTGAGTATTGAGTTGAGTGCAGCTTGAAGTGGTTTCCGTCTCTCACCCACTCATCATTTTCCGGTAGCATATCAAACAAAATAATGGAAGTTGTTTTAGTATAGTTTGTTTCCACTGCATTAGCAAAGAAATGGGTGAATATTTCATTTAGAATGTTTTGATTTCAATTTAATTTTGAAAATGGAAATAAAATAAAACAACCACGTAATTTGTTTTCTGATTTAGTTTTGAAACGGAATAACTAATGATTGAAGGGTACAGCGGATTGACACGGAATTAAAGATTTTGATTTCCAATATGAAATTATCAAATGAAAATAACAAAAAATTAAAACGAATGGAAAATTTTTTTTCTGATTTTATTTTGAAACGGAAAAAACGATGATTGAAGGGTACACGGATTAATCAGAATACTATATTGTACTTGATTAGCATACAAAAATTAAACTACACAAGTTACATATAGCTACCATATAATTAGGATTTCTAAAAATGCTACAGGAGTAGGCAGATCATATGCAAACCATTTGCATTAACTTGCATATAAGCGCATTTTAAGCGTCCTGCACATAACTCACGTATCATTCACAATCAGCGCTCTTTAGTTATAAGATCCAGTGTTTTCTCCAGCGCTGTGTGGCGTAGTGGGATTGTCCAAGTCTTTTCGCTTGAAGACTCATGTTCGAGCCCCGGCCAATCCACAAATTTTATTAGCGGAAGATTCATAGTACACAGTAATATCCATAGTGCACAGTAATATCCATAGTACACAGTAATATCCATAGTACACAGTAATATCCATAGTACACAGTAATATCCATAGTGCACAGTAATATCCATAGTACACAGTAATATCCATAGTACACAGTAATATCCATAGTACACAGTATCATCCATAGTACACAGTAATATCCATTGTACACAGTAGTGTCAATAGTACACAGTAGTATCAATAGTACACAGTAACATCCATAGTACACAGTAACATTCATAGTACACAGTAATATCCATAGTACACAGTATTATCCATAGTACACAGTAATATCCATAGTACACAGTAATATCCATAGTACACAGTAATATCCATAGTACACAGTAATATCCATATCCATACAAGCAAAAATACACACGCACATATTTATCACCGTATATTTCAGCCTTTTGTGTAATAAAGAGATCAAAACGGTAACACATGCGTTTCCATGGTAACACAATCAAAGTCCATATTTTCTGGCCCGGAGAGACCCTTGCTTCTCCATTTCTCACCGTCGCAAAGATAAATAACCGGGAGATTTCCAGGACACACTTTTGTTTGCTCGACTGATGAGAACTAATGCCTTCCCGTCTTCAGGGGGAAATATTAACCTCGCATCGATCTGTGTCCCGCCGCCGTTCCAAAACGAAAAGGAAAAAAAGGCGGATGTCACCTCGGAGACGGGACTACGGGGGCCCGGCGGGGACACAAACGTGGCTGATTTCACCTGGGACCAATTAAATCCAGGGAGGTTAAGTGTTTGCGACCCGCAGTGGGGGTTGTGACGACAAAGGCCTGTGTGTAGTGCGTCTGTGTTTCCTGAAGAGAACACACATATATTTAAAAACGACCTAATTAATCCTGGAAGTCTCTTTGATTAATCAGACTCTTGTTTTTGCCCTGAAGGACCAAAGATAATGTTTGGGTTTCCATGGGATCAGCAGGAAATTATACACTCACCGTGGCACAGATTTTTGCGTCTTCCATTTTGTGAAGTGGAGTGTGTGTGTGTGTATGTGTGTGTGTGTGTGTGTGTGTGTGTGTCTATGGATCTCTCCGTGTGTTAGCATGGCGGCTAGCAGTGTCTCAGAGCTAAATACAGACTCGAAGGAAGTCAGAGAAAGATCAGGTCACGTCTGCCACGGTTTCCAGGAGCAAGACATACTTAACTATTGTTCAGCTCCGAGCCCAAGACACTAGAAAAATAACTTTTTTAAATTTTCATTATTATTTTTTGTTTTTTCTACTGCTTTTTATCCCCCCTCCTCTCCTGTCCCCCTCACATTGTATGATAAAAAACAACATTTCAGTCAGAAAAAATAAATAAAATATTGTGCTTATTTTTTGTAATGCAAGTTTGTTTTGCTTGAATGTAGTTTGTCATGGAATTATTTTATTAGTATTGGCAGTGTGTAATATTTGCATGTCCAGTCGTCACTAAATAGCCCGAATATTTCAAAAAACAAAAGCATATGTTCTTTTCCAATACTTCTTTAACTGATAACAGTAGTTCAGAGATATTTGGATTTCTAAATGAGTTTTAAAGCCTCTAAATCTTGTTATTGTTTTCATTTCGATGTCCCGCCCTCCACCGTTTCACCAATCAGAAAGTCTGTGATCCGGGCGCCAGAACTCACCGCGTGGAGCTAATCTCACCGGTAAAGTACCATGTGGCGCAGAACTAAGAAAGGTCTCGTTATGATTCTCAAATCATTAACGACAAAACAAGGAATAAAACCAGGATTTCTCTCGGGACGCCTTTGAAAATTTGAGACAATTAAAGGCGGATAAAGCGGCTGCAGTACCACTTTTGGCCACTTTCTTACAGACTGCTCCTTCAAAATACTTTATAATCTTCATAATCTCTGGGCAGTGAGTTTTTATGCTTGTTTTAAGTATTTGTTCTTATTTCCAGACTTTTCTTCTCAAATTAACATAAGTTTGTGATGCTGTATTTTAAGAGAACAAAAGAAAAAAAACGTTTAAAAAATGTTTAAGAAATAAGTAAAAAACAGGACTGAGGCTGTAGACCCAGGACTGAGGCTGTAGACCCAGGACTGAGGCTGTAGTTCCAGGACTGAGGCTGTAGACCCAGGACTGAGCCTGTAGACCCAGGACTGAGCCTGTAGACCCAGGACTGAGGCTGTAGTTCCAGGACTGAGGCTGTAGACCCAGGACTGAGGCTGTAGATCCAGGACTGAGGCTGTAGATCCAGGACTGAGGCTGTAGATCCAGGACTGAGGCTGTAGACCCAGGACTGAGTCTAGCATCACATCAAGAGGTTTTATAAGAATGCCGGGTTCACATCTCTGTCTTATCCGACTTGGGGCTGGGTCGGTGCTTCTGGCTCTTGTTGTGCGGCTGTTATCTCGGCGTGAGCGTCGGATCAGAGTCGCCGCCGCGTCAGAAACTTCACATGAAACTTCACATGAAACGCTCTTTGATCACAGCCTTTGAGTCCAGCTCCTCCTCCTCTGACCGCTCTCTGGACACTTCACTCTCTCTGCTCCGTCTCTCACAAACAACTCACAAAGACAGAAATTATGGTCTTATAGCTTTGCTCATAAAAACTAAAGCAGATCTATTAAAAAACACACTCGACAACCACGTAGCAACCAACTAGCGAGGCTTGTCTGTCAAAGCGGTTTACAATTGTGGGCATTAGTCTGTCACTCCACACAGAGATGGGAGGGGCCAGTACAGGAGGCACAGACATGTTGTACATGTTTTTAGTGGTAGGGGAAACCGGAGCACCCCGAGGAAACCTACACAGACACGGGGAGAACATGCAAACTCCACACAGAAAGACCCTGTTCCGACCAGGATTTGAACCTATGACCTTCTTGCTGAGAAGCGAGAGTGCTAACCACTCAGCCACCGTGCCGCCCAAAGTTGTTGCTTGCCAAAGTCGGAAGGAAAGTGGATAGAATAAATATTATATTTTATGTGGATAAAACACAGGATGAAGAGCCTTCGCTTACGTTTAATAATTGCTAAAACTGGTTCTTAAACTGCGGCAAAAACAGTTTGTTGAAAGTATTTCTAAAGACTAAATGCTAACTGCTGACGGTAAACAGTGGGTTTCCATGGTTACCAGTGGGTTGCTATGGTAAACAGTGGGTTGCTATGGTTACCAATGGATTGCTATGGTAAACAGTGGGTTGCCATAGTTACCGCTGGGTTGCTATGGTAAACAGTGGGTTGCCATAGTTACCAGTGGGTTGCTATGGTAAACAGTGGGTTGCCATGGTAACCACTGGGTTGCTATGGAAAACAGTGGGTTGCCATGGTTACCAGTTGGTTGCTATGGTAAACAGTGGTTTGCCATGATTGCCAGTGGGTTGTTATGGTAACCAGGACCGGGGCCTTGACAAAATGGCTGCCATTGAAAGAAAGCAATCGGAAGTGGCTAATTTTGAATTTAAGTTAAAAGGTGGGTCCTGCTCAGATAAAAATAAAAGATAATTAAATGAAAAGAATGACATAGAAATAAACTACTCCCCTTTTTTTCCTACGGGAATCAATAAAGTATATTTCTATCAATCCTAGAAACAGAAAAAGTCATAAAGTGATGAAGACCACAGCGGCACAAACACTGAGTTCTCACACATCCAGAACCAAAACTACTATCACGTGAACATTGTAATCTTTTTGATGTCGCTTTGATTGTACTGTGTTGTGAAAGTTGGGTAGCCCAGCTTTAAAGGTTTATAGAAGGATATTCCCAAATTTTAGGAAAGAACCTCTCCATTTAGTGATAAAAGTCTGGTCTTCTTTGATGAGCACGTGTCATAAGAATGATTGACAGTTGGGAGGGCCAATAGCCTTGATGATCCACCGTGAAGTAGAACATCCTCCTTTACACATTTAACTCTGATGTGTAATTCTGACTATGATATTTAAAGTTGTTTATCGCTGTCGTCTGAGCTTTGTTGTTTGTTCTTGTCCAGTCTTTGTTCATGTCTTTGAACCATCTTTGCTCTAAATAAATCCTAACAATTAAAACAAAATGGATGATATTGTGTAAAGCAAAATGGTTCCAAGATGAAAAAGTTAATATTGATCATGCCTAAACTAAAATGAGGAGAACATGCAATCAAAGCCCGAACACCGGGTCTAATTACTTTTGCACGAGTCCCTCCTGGTTTAGTATTTTTAAACATTTCTCCGGCCTGCGTCGCACACACAGCCCGCAGTGTTGTTTTTTAGGTGTGGTCCTGTGGAGTTAATGGCTGCTGCTCCAAAAGCAATTAATAATTTCTGCCAAAGCAAAAACAAGTCCTGTTTCCACAACGAGCGAAGGCCCCGGGCGTCCGTCAGAATGTGTTCTTTCTCTGTTACTGTAACCACCGTAACCACAGCTCTGTGAGACCAACCAGAAGCGCACACACTGGCCACCAGGGGCATGGCTTCAGACGCAGCGCGAGGCATTTTGTCTCTCTTGAAGAAACGTTTTGCTGCACGAATGTTCACAGGACTGAGACTACAGGACTGAGGCTGTAGACGCAGGACTGAGGCTGTGGACCCAGGACTGAGGCTGTGGACCCAGGACTGAGGCTGTAGACCCAGGACTGACGCTGTAGACCCAGGACTGAGGCTGTAAACCCAGGACTGAGGCTGTAGACCCAGGACTGAGGCTGTAGACCCAGGACTGAGACTACAGGACTGAGGCTGTAGACGCAGGACTGAGGCTGTGGACCCAGGACTGAGGCTGTAGACCCAGGACTGACGCTGTAGACCCAGGACTGAGGCTGTAAACCCAGGACTGAGGCTGTAGACCCAGGACTGAGGCTGTAGACCCAGGACTGAGACTACAGGACTGAGGCTGTGGACCCAGGACTGAGGCTGTAGACCCATGACTGAGGCTGTGGATTCAGGACTGAGACTACAGGACTGAGGCTGTAGACGCAGGACTGAGGCTGTAGACCCAGGACTGAGACTACAGGACTGAGGCTGTAGACGCAGGACTGAGGCTGTAGACCCAGGACTGAGGCTGTGGACCCAGGACTGAGGCTGTAGACCCATGACTGAGGCTGTAGACCCAGGACTGAGGCTGTAGACCCAGGACTGAGGCTGTAGACCCAGGACTGACGCTGTAGACCCAGGACTGAGACTACAGGACTGAGGCTGTAGACCCAGGACTGAGGCTGTAGACCCAGGACTGACGCTGTAGACCCAGGACTGAGACTGCAGATTCAGGACTGAGGCTGTAGACCCAGGACTGAGGCTGTAGACCCAGGACTGAGGCTGTAGACGGCCTCTGGTGGCTGATGGGCGGCACGGTGGCTGATGGGCGGCACGGTGGCTGAGTGGATAGCACTCTCGCCTCTCAGCAAGAAGGTCCTGGGTTCGAATCCCGGTCGGACCAGGGCCTTTCTGAGTGGAGTTTGCATGTTCTCCCCGTGTCTGCGTAGGTTTCCTCCGGGTACTCCGGTTTCCCCTACCACTAAAAATATGTCCAATAGTTCTGGCATGTGCCTCCTGTACTGGCCCCGCTCCCATCTCTGTGTGGAGTGAGAGACAAATGCCCAAAAATTAACAATTGTAAACCGCTTTGAGACTCAGATCTGCAGTGAAAAGGCGGTATATAAATAAAAACTTACTTACTTACTTACTAGACCCAGGACTGAGGCTGTAGACCCAGGACTGAGGCTGTAGTTCCAGGATCCAGTTTGAAACCCAACATTTGCAACAGAAGGGGCGGGGAGACAATATTCCCGCATGGTTAAAAACTCCAAAAAGTAGATTTTTCTTGAGGTTTTTTTGTCTCTTCTGAGTTTCCGTGTCTCAATAGTTATAAAGTCAAGTGTTTTCTTCTTTCCTTAGATCCACTCCTGACTCGCACTTTGTAAATGTTTAGTGCATGAAACGGTTGTGTACTTGCTTCCAAATAACAAAATGCTAAAAAGTTTCTCCCCGACTTCCCCAAAAACCCGGTCTAAACCTGACGCAGTCTCGTCAGCCTTTAGCTCGGGCCGCTCCACCTTCTGCGATAATGTTTGAATGTTTTATGGATAAACTTTTCAGACCGTCCACTTTCTGCAGCGCTGACAAAGTCCATAAATCAGCAGTAGATTAATAAACCAGCAGAGGCTTTTCACGCAGACGCTGTGAGACCGGCCCGATGCAGGAGAATCAGTGAGGGCCCAATTCAATTTAAGACCGAATCCTAATACAAACAATACAAATACAAAAATTTAAGGCCTAATCCTAACCCCAACCCTAGTCCTAATCCTAACCCAACTTTAGCCCTAATCCTAACCCCAACCCTAGTCCTAATCCTAACCCAACTTTAGCCCTAATCTGAACCCCCACCCTAGTCCTAATCCTAACCCAATTTTAGCCCTAATCCTAACCCCAACCCTAGTCCTAAAACTAATCCCAATTTTAGCTTTTAACCCGATCCCAACCTTAGCCCTAAACCTAAACCCAAATTCAACCCTAATCCTAACCCAATTTTAGCCCTAATCCTAACCCCAACCCTATTCCTAATACTAACCCCAATTTTAGCCCAAACCCTAATCCCAATTTTATCTTTTAACCCAATCCCAAATTTAGCCCTAAACCTAATCCCAAATTCAAAACTAATCCTAATCCCAATTTTAGCCATAATCCTAATCTCAAATGTAGCCCTAACCCCAACCTTAACCCTAATCCTAACCCCAAATATAGCCCAAAATCCTAACCTCAACCTTAGCCCTAATCCTAACCCCTAATTTGTGATGTTTTTCTTTTTTCTTAATTTGTTTGTTGTACTGTATTTTAATATGTGTCACTTTGAGGATTCATGGAAATGTGAATAAAATGTCGTAATTATAAAGTCTGTTCTCTGAGCCACGGGACACGACATCATTCTACAGACACAGAAACACGTGTGTAGCGTGTGTTCACGGTTTACTCACACATGGTCATTTCCTCATTTATGGCGCTGCTGTTTCTCAATCTGTGGTCGTGCACAGACGCGTCCCTGTGTCCGCGGCTGCAGCTGTAACGATAAAAACACTTTACAGCCGAGAATCACATCAGCCCCGATCTGAGGAGGGTTTTTACCACATCCAGACACAGAGAGTAACGATGAGGCCATACTGCAGCCGTGGGAGGAGCCGTGGGAGGAGCCGTGGGAGGAGCCGAGGGAGGAGCCGTGGGAGGAGCCGTGGGAGGAGCCGAGGGAGGAGCCGTGGGAGGAGCCGTGGGAGGAGCCGTGGGAGGAGCCGAGGCAGTACAGGAGATGTGAATAAGATACATGTAAGATATTGTTTTATTCATCCCACTGTGGGGAAATGTCAGTGTCATCGTTTCACATTACAGCAGAGACAGAAGGAAATAAAACTCAGATGCACACATTAAAATAATAAGATTGAAGGAGTCTTTACAGATGTGTATATTGTAGTTTAGCAGAAGAGAATTGTAAGAGATTATATAAAGTAGGTCATTATCGGAATATAAGGACCTTTAGGGCGAAGCGCAGTGTTGCCAACTTAGTGACTTTGTCGCTAGATTTAGCGACTTTTCAGACCCCTATAGCAACTTTTTCTGGTGTTATTGAAGACTTATCTGGTGTTTTGGAGACTCTGGCGTGAAGCACCAGTGACAGTTAGGCTAGTAACATTTAGGCTAGTAACAGTTAGGCTAGTAACAGTTAGGCTAGTAACATTTAGGCTAGTAACATTTAGGGTAGTAACATTTAGGCTAGTAACAGTTAGGCTAGTAACAGTTAGGCTAGTAACATTTAGGCTAGTAACATTTAGGCTAGTAACAGTTAGGCTAGTAACATTTAGGCTAGTAACAGTTAGGGTAGTAACATTTAGGGTAGTAACATTTAGGGTAGTAACATTTAGGCTAGTAACATTTAGGCTAGTAACATTAGGGTAGTAACATTTAGGGTAGTAACATTTAGGCTAGTAACATTTAGGGTAGTAACATTTAGGGTAGTAACATTTAGGCTAGTAACATTTAGGCTAGTAACAGTTAGGCTAGTAACATTTAGGCTAGTAACAGTTAGGCTAGTAACAGTTAGGCTAGTAACATTTAGGCTAGTAACAGTTAGGGTAGTAACATTTAGGCTAGTAACAGTTAGGCTAGTAACATTTAGGGTAGTAACATTTAGGGTAGTAACATTTAGGCTAGTAACATTTAGGGTAGTAACATTTAGGGTAGTAACATTTAGGCTAGTAACAGTTAGGCTAGTAACATTTAGGCTAGTAACATTTAGGCTAGTAACATTTAGGCTAGTAACAGTTAGGCTAGTAACATTTAGGCTAGTAACATTTAGGCTAGTAACATTTAGGCTAGTAACATTTAGGCTAGTAACATTTAGGGTAGTAACATTTAGGCTAGTAACAGTTAGGCTAGTGACAGTTAGGCTAGTAACAGTTAGGCTAGTAACAGTTAGGCTAGTAACAGTTAGGCTAGTAACAGTTAGGCTAGTAACATTTAGGCTAGTAACAGTTAGGCTAGTAACATTTAGGCTAGTAACAGTTAGGCTAGTAACATTTAGGCTAGTAACATTTAGGCTAGTAACATTTTAGGCTAGTAACATTTAGGCTAGTAACATTTAGGCTAGTAACAGTTAGGCTAGTAACATTTAGGCTAGTAACATTTAGGCTAGTAACAGTTAGGCTAGTAACAGTTAGGCTAGTAACAGTTAGGCTAGTAACATTTAGGCTAGTAACATTTAGGCTAGTAACAGTTAGGCTAGTAACAGTTAGGCTAGTAACATTTAGGCTAGTAACATTTAGGCTAGTAACATTTAGACTAGTAACATTTAGGGTAGTAACATTTGGGCTAGTAACAGTTAGGCTAGTAACATTTAGGGTAGTAACATTTAGGGTAGTAACATTTAGGGTAGTAACATTTAGACTAGTAACATTTAGGGTAGTAACATTTAGGCTAGTAACAGTTAGGCTAGTAACATTTAGGGTAGTAACATTTAGGGTAGTAACATTTAGGGTCGTAACAGTTAGGCTAGTAACATTTAGGGTAGTAACATTTAGGCTAGTAACGTTTAGGGTAGTAACATTTAGGGTAGTAACATTTAGGGTAGTAACAGTTAGGCTAATAACAGTTAGGGTAGTAACATTTAGGGTAGTAACATTTAGGGTAGTAACATTTAGACTAGTAACATTTAGGGTAGTAACATTTAGACTAGTAACATTTAGGGCAGTAACATTTAGGGTAGTAACAGTTAGGCTAGTAACAGTTAGGCTAGTAACATTTAGGCTAGTAACAGTTAGGCTAGTAACATTTAGGCTAGTAACATTTAGGGTAGTAACATTTAGGCTAGTAACATTTAGGGTAGTAACATTTAGACTAGTAACATTTAGGGTAGTAACATTTAGGCTAGTAACATTTAGGCTAGTAACATTTAGGCTAGTAACATTTAGACTAGTAACATTTAGGCTAGTAACATTTAGGGTAGTAACATTTAGGCTAGTAACATTTAGGCTAGTAACAGTTAGGCTAGTAACAGTTAGGCTAGTAACATTTAGGCTAGTAACATTTAGGCTAGTAACATTTAGGCTAGTAACATTTAGGGTAGTAACATTTAGGGTAGTAACATTTAGGGTAGTAACATTTAGGCTAGTAACATTTAGGCTAGTAACATTTAGACTAGTAACATTTAGACTAGTAACATTTAGACTAGTAACATTTAGGCTAGTAACATTTAGGCTAGTAACATTTAGGCTAGTAACAGTTAGGCTAGTAACATTTAGGCTAGTAACATTTAGGCTAGTAACATTTAGGCTAGTAACATTTAGGCTAGTAACATTTAGGCTAGTAACATTTAGGCTAGTAACATTTAGGCTAGTAACAGTTAGGCTAGTAACAGTTAGGCTAGTAACATTTAGGCTAGTAACATTTAGGCTAGTAACATTTAGGCTAGTAACATTTAGGCTAGTAACATTTAGGCTAGTAACAGTTAGGCTAGTAACAGTTAGGCTAGTAACATTTAGGCTAGTAACATTTAGGCTAGTAACATTTAGGCTAGTAACATTTAGGCTAGTAACATTTAGGCTAGTAACATTTAGACTAGTAACATTTAGGGTAGTAACATTTAGACTAGTAACATTTAGACTAGTAACATTTAGGGTAGTAACATTTAGGGTAGTAACATTTAGACTAGTAACATTTAGGGTAGTAACATTTAGACTAGTAACATTTAGGGTAGTAACATTTAGGCTAGTAACATTTAGGGTAGTAACATTTAGACTAGTAACATTTAGGCAGTGATGGGAATAACGGCGTTACTAGTAACGGCGTTACTAGTAACGGCGTTACTAACGCCGTTACTTTTTTCAGTAACGAGTAATCTAACTAATTACTTTGACAGTAACTATAACGCCGTTATCATTTCCGACATCCCGTTACTGCGCGTTACTCAAGACGCACAATGAACGTGTTGTCATGAGAGAAGGGAGGATGAGAAAACCTCTCAGCAATTATTGGCTGATGTAAATCATATTTCCTTTACAATCTACATGTCTACAGTTGAGAGGATGGCTCATAAATTGTGTTTTTGAAACAAATATGGGTCTTAATCGGCTTGCATCACCGTGAGGTCAGCCACAGAGGAGCGCATGTGAGCGCAGAAGTCGGCTGCATACAATTCCATCGATAAGCTCCTTGCTCTTCCTGGTTTATCTGCTAAGGACAGCAACAGGTTTGGCTAACATACATATAACACATTTTTACATAATCTAAAATGCACATAGGGTAATTTTTCAATTACTATAGGAATGATAAGAAAGAGAGCGAAGTGTAAGACGGTTGATTTTAGAAATTGGATGCAGCCGGCTGCAGCAAAACAGAGGAGTTTACGGAGGACACACGCGTTTTGTTTTACTTTTTAAAACTCATTGGACTCATTTCCAAATGGAGGATTACATATCTACGCTCAAACCATTAACTGGATTTAAACAAGGAACTGGTCTGAACCGAAGTGGACTGTGCAGGTCATTTATAAGGTATAGCTATAAGGTAAGACCCATAACTCATAGTTTTGCGTTTTGTATGAACAAACAATGCGGGCATAAAACATATTTTGCTGTAGCCAAACAAATTGTCCACTTGATTTATATGATGTATATGTTCATCTGATTGGGCTGAAGTCAGTGCTTCACCAGCCTCACCGCTCGTCACCGGTGTTTCCACATTCACAGTGGCGGGTGTTGGTGTTTAGTGCTTACAGCACAGACAGAGATGAAGAGTGAACAGGACTTCAGCAGCAAAACAGCCTTTTCTAGATGGAAATATTGGCACTGTTAAAGGTAAAAATGCGCACGTCGGGTGCACATTATGTTCCAGAACAAAACGAAAAAGTAACGCAATAGTTACTTTTACTGGTAACTAGTTACTTTTATAGTGGAGTAACTCCGTTAGTAACTCAGTTACTTTTTGGGAGAAGTAACTAGTAACTATAACTAATTACTTTTTCAAAGTAACGTGCCCAACACTGCATTTAGGGTAGTAACATTTAGGCTAGTAACATTTAGGGTAGTAACATTTAGGCTAGTAACATTTAGGGTAGTAACATTTAGGCTAGTAACATTTAGGGTAGTAACATTTAGACTAGTAACATTTAGGGTAGTAACATTTAGGCTAGTAACATTTAGGGTAGTAACATTTAGACTAGTAACATTTAGGGTAGTAACATTTAGACTAGTAACATTTAGGGTAGTAACATTTAGACTAGTAACATTTAGGGTAGTAACATTTAGACTAGTAACATTTAGGGTAGTAACATTTAGGGTAGTAACATTTAGACTAGTAACATTTAGGGTAGTAACATTTAGACTAGTAACATTTAGGGTAGTAACATTTAGACTAGTAACATTTAGGGTAGTAAAATTTAGACTAGTAACATTTAGGGTAGTAACATTTAGGCTAGTAACATTTAGGGTAGTAACATTTAGACTAGTAACATTTAGGGTAGTAACATTTAGGCTAGTAACATTTAGGGTAGTAACATTTAGGCTAGTAACATTTAGGGTAGTAACATTTAGGCTAGTAACATTTAGGGTAGTAACATTTAGGGTAGTAACATTTAGGCTAGTAACATTTAGGGTAGTAACATTTAGGCTAGTAACATTTAAGGTTGTAACTTCCAAACTAGAACTCTCTGGAACTACATGAAAGGTGAACACAGAGAACATCAGCGGTGAGTGACCCAAATATAAACTGAACCTAAATCCATCAGATTCTCTGCAAATGTTCCTAAAATGTTCTAATAATGTT